TATGTTTTGTCGAGCGATTTTGCTTTTCTGACCAGCTATAGCCATTTTCTTAGGTTGATATTTTGGTTCATTTCCGAATGGCCAATTTTCTTCATTACCTGTTCATTTCATTGGAATATTTCCTTGATCAGCCTCACCTTCCTTCGAGTATTAAAGCGCTAACCAGAGCACGATATCCGCATTTCGTATCCCTCGTTTTCGTTTTTTTGCGAGAATTGTTCTCAACGTAAGTTCTTCTCGTCTCATCATTCACTTCTGCTAGACCAGCCATCACATGAATCCTTCAANNATATTTGGTACTAACTAGCTAATTAAACAAATCTCATATAAATCAAGTGCTGCTCTTTACTGAACTTAAAAGAATATTATACTCTCGCTGGCTTACTGCATAAAAGATTGAAATATGGTAGGTATTGTTAAATTTATTTATATGATACTTAATAAATGCAAAAATTATCGAACCTTTAACTGTAATCAGCAGTTGAATAAATTGTCTTGAAGGATTCATGTGATGGCTGGTCTAGCAGAAGTGAATGATGAGACGAGAAGAACTTACGTTGAGAACATTCGATACGCTTCTCAGCTGTTTGCTAAGGTTGATATTATGGTTCATTTCCGAATGGCCAATTCTCTTCATTACCTGTTCATTTCATTGGAATATTTCCTTGATCAACCTTACCTTCCTTCGAGTATCAAAGCGCTAACCAGAACACGATATCCGCACTTCGTATCCCTCGTTTTCGTTTCCCACAAGCGACCCTTCCATTTGGCGATATCAATGTCTTGAGATATCTCTCGGGAGATCGCCTCAAGAGTAGTTTCAATTCTCTCGAATACCATTCCGACATCAGTATGGTCTTTAGTCATTTCTTGTCCTGGTTGCATGTCCTGTCAATCTCATTTCACTTTTCTTATATTCCTAGACTTATCATNNNTCACTCACAAATGAAACCATTCGAATGAACATAAATCTGTAATCCATTTTTCATTACGATCCAACATTCAAGCAATGAAAAATTGAGTAGTATAACATCTTCCAGAACGATATAATATGCCTGATCGAACCTATCAATGAGATCAGTATACCGGGTTATTTTCTTCATTCATATCAACAAGGTATTCATTCATTCACTATTGGATCAATTCACTAGAATTTATTGTTATCATTGTTTTGGTTATTATAAACCATTATTGATGGTGTTGTGCAGTGGAATTCGTTGAATGAAATGAACGTTTAGAATTTGATTTTGTTTTTATTCGACAAACGATTGATTATTATTCACTGAAAATGGTTTTTTGTAGCGTTGGAGATTATCAAAGAAATTAATGAATCCAATTTGAAGTTGATGTTTGTAAGTTTCGTTTTTTAAATTGTTTTTTGTTATTGCAATCGTTCAGTTTGAATGCTCACATTCTAATTAACGATTATTACTGAGTGTTTTTGTGTTTGAGAATTCGAATTGATGATTTGAAACGAAAATGGAATATAATAAAAAATATACTGAATGATGAGAATATTTAGTCGATTATACTTAGACGATTGGTTTGTTTAGGATGTGTTTCATGCACAGCAAATATGCGGTCAGTTAACGAAATCGATCGTCGATTTGAAGTCGTTTATTGGTTCGTTTTCGATATTTTTTCAGTTGTATTCATTCATTCAATCGTTTCAACGTTCAGTTAAAGTTGAATGCATTAATCACAGTCTTTATTGCACTCGGTTTTATAGCAATTGACAGTAATAGTAGGAGTAATAATGATAAGAATAATGGTAATAATAATGATGATAATAATAGTAATAATAATAATAATAATAATAGGGCGATAGAAATAATAATGGTATTGTGTAGAGCACATTCAATGTGATTAATGAAGTGATCGGGAAGATTTATGAAGATGTGTGATCTCCATATATCTGTCTTTGTGCGTTCGAAGTGCTGATTGATTATGAATGCGACTGAGTGATTAAATTAGAGCATGAAACGGGGAATGGGCGATTTTCAGTGGTAATGTGCTCTTGGAATGTACGTCGTCTGAAGGTAGTAAATTAGTGGCT